CCTGTTGCTGTCGATCATTCAGTTTCGGGACTTCATTACGATGGAATTAATTACTACGAAAAATTTTAAACCAAAATAAATTAATAAAAGTTTTTTTACCTTTGCTCCATTCTAATTGAAGACCCTTTGTCAGTATGATTTTATTATAAGAGGTTTATTTGGGTTTGAAATATAGTTTCTAACTGTGCTATTTTATTTGATCTACTAGTTATTTTAAAAAAAACTATATTAATTAATATTTTTTATTTTATATTTTAGTTCTTTAACTTTATATGAATTTTTAGTGTATCTTTTAAATTCATTATTGGTGATTGAAATGTAATAAAATAGAATTTCTGAAATTTCTACATTATCTTGTTCCAGTGATTGTCTTAAAAAATCTTTTGTATTTACAAAAATACCATTTGGATTTGATTCTGACCGTTTTGTAAATATTTGAGGATATTTTAATGAAATTGTTTTAATTGCTGTTAGGTTATCATCTTTTATTAAAGTTTCAATTAAAAGAGATAATGAAAATTCACCTGCTATAATTGTTTTGTTTATTAAAATGTTATTTAATAATTGATCCATAAATTCTGTTGACATATCTGAAAAATCAATATTATTTAGTGACACATTTTTTGTTTGAATTATATTTTCATATTTGCCAAATAAATAAAGTAAATTAAAGTATTTACGGGGTATTAATTCAATTGTAATTATTTCTTCATTAAATTTAGTATTTCTTTGTTGATGAGTTTGCATTTTTTGGTTATTATTATTATTATTATTGAATTTTATATGTAATTGAATATCTTGATTTTTAATAATTTCATTTGGTATTTGAGTATGTTGGAATATCCATTGAAAAAATTTTAAATTATAAAAGTTATTGATATTTTGAAACATAATATTATCTATCAATCTTTTTGATTTGAAATAATTGATGGCAGTGTGAACATCATCCTCTGATTTCAAACTTTGGCAAAAAGGATAAATAATGGAATGTTGAGTGTTATAAGCAATTGGGTTTTGGTTTGCACTAGAATATACTTCAAAATTCGATAATATTGTATTGGTACGAAACAAAGAATCTCTTTCTTCAATAAAAAAACGTCTACCCAGATTGGTCATTAACTCTTCATAATGTTTAAGAATTGCTAAACTTGAAACATAAAAGCAAAAGGAGTTATCCTTTTTAAACAAAGGACATCTTTTGTGGTTGTTGAAAAAGTAGTCTAATACCTCTGTTGATTGAATACTATTTATTAAAGTTATAGCATCTTTTGGAAATAAACTATTAAATATTCCAATATGTTGATTGAATATCACTCGAATTAATTCTAAATTATTGCTTAAGAGTGTTTTCTTTAGAAATATAAATAAATCTGATCCAACATAACATTTTTTCTGTACAAGTAGTTCGGAAGCATCTAAATAAAGTTGATAATCGGTAATTTTGTATTCAAATAATATATTAAGAAAGATGGTTTCTTTTTTCATTTGTTCTAAAAATAATTGTTTACCATTCAATAAAATATAGTAGTGTGGTGGGAAAGGTTGTTGTATTATTTGAAATAATAGCTTTATGTATTTTAATATCCATTGATTATAATTATTATTATTATTATTATTATTATTTAAACAAAGATTTTCCAATATGAGATGGCTTAAAGTTGATTTTAATAGTTTTTGTGTAAATACTGTTGATGATTTTAATCTTAAAATTTTGATTTTCTCAATTTGATTATGCTCTATTTGTTCATAAAGTAATGGTAAGTATTCTACAGTTTTAATGAGTTGATTTAAATTTTTAAGATTTGATAAGTCAAAATTAGAAAAAGAGAAAATAAAGCATTTCTTATCATGATCGTTCGTTTTATTTCTTGATTTAAAACCTATTGAATTTAAATATTTGATCATTTTAATAGATTTATAAGTCTTTACGCTTATACCTGTGCCTGAAAAGTTTTCTTGAAATTGTGCATAGTTGTTTAGTTCTTTTAATACTGCGATATTTGCTGTTGCAATTGCATCTTTAAAAAAAATATTTCTTGTATCTGAATAGTTTGAAAATAATTGTTTATAGAATGATCTATTGGACGGTGTATCTTTGAAAATCCTTTCACATATGGTTTCATGACCAAAAACTAAATCTTGAGCATTTTTTACTTTATCTCTTAAAATTTCTTCACCATTTGTGTATCTTCTTAATATTAAATCAACTGAGAATAGTCTATCATAATTGAGTGATCTACCGAATGTAAAATTTGAAAATATATTCTTAAAAATTATTTTATTTCTAAAAATTGCCCAAAATAAGTTTTCTTGTGGTGAGATATCCATAATTGTTAGTTGTACCCTATCTTTGTTGAATGCATTGATTGATTCTTTTTTTTGTTTTTCGATTGCAAATCTTTGTTGTAACTCTACAAAGGCTACAACTCTATTGTAAATAACACTTTTTCTACCAATTGTATTGATACCAAATTTTTTTGCCAATTCTTTAATATCTTCTTCTTTTAATTTATTATAATCTTTTTTTATGAATTCATTATATTCTTTATCAAAATCACTATTGAAATATGATATTATTTGATTTAGTTTGTTTTCATCATTAGTATGATTTGTTTTATTTTTTTTATTATTATTATTACTATTATCTGAAGCTTCAATAGATCTTTTATTATTCTTTTTTTATATTTTCTTTATTTTTTTATGCATAAAATATATAAAATAACTAAAATATTAAATAAATAAAATTAAAAAAAAATGAAAAAATTTGTAAAAAAAGCTTGGGGAAAAATTATTTTTTTAAAATAAATTTTTTTAATTTTATTTTTTTATTTTATTTGAATTTATTATCAGATGTTTTTCTGCAACTGAACACCTCCAACCACATTTTTTGTATAAAAACGAAAATAATGTTGATCTCAAATATGGAAAAGAAGAAGATGATGAAAACGGTCAATTGCAAATATTGGAAATGACTTTAGTGGTATTATTACTCGTTGCGGTGTAAAAAAATTAAAAATCGGTGATGAAGTACTTGGGGTTGCTCCAAAGGCTAGTGGATCAAATGTTATTTTGGACCAAAAATATGTTTATTTTAAACCATCGAATATCACACATATTCAAGCAGCATCTATTCCAACAATTTATATTACCACATTACACAGTATTTACTATATTGGTTTTGGTACAATTCATATTATCCGAGGCTCATCCATAGATAACACAGGTACTTTTGAACATAGCTCAAACATATTTTTAGGTTTGTCACCCAATGGAATGCTAAAAGATAATAATTTAAATTCATCATCAGAAGAGTATGAGTTTATAGAAAAAGCCATTATTAGTAATAAAGGAATATGGAGATGTATCGAAAATGAAGCAAAAGATGACAATGTAATAGAATTACCATTCTACAACAATGGGGATTTAGAAATCCACGGAACATCTCATACAGAATTTAAGTATCTTCATCAAGAAAAAGGCTCTATTAATCTATTAGATGGCGGCTCTATTGGATCAAATACTTCAATTCATTTAAATTATGGTTCAATTTTGGGAAATGGTACTATACATGGTAATATCAATAGTAGCAATGGTGAAATTGGTCACCTATTCGAACTAAATGATCTTTTAATCAATGGTAATTTACAAGCAGATCAAACTATTTTAATTCACTCAGCAGCAGGTGGTGTCGATCTATCATCATTAGAACTATTAAAGTGTAAACAACACAAAGGCTATATATTTTTAACAGTCGGTTCAAAAGATAAAGAAGAATACTTAATAGATAAATATGGCTCATTTATTACTGGTATCTATTCATCAAGAAATAAAAACTATGTTCATCAAATTAAAAGCAAATTAAAACAATTAGAATGTGACAAAGATCATCAGGGTGTAGATTTAATATTAAATACACATTTGGAAGAATTGTAGATCTTTCAGTTACACATTTAACACCAAACGACTATATTATAAACAATCACTATAAATACAACTATGGATATAATAATGTAGAACTTGGAAAAATACCAGTTAAATTGTTTAGAAATTACCTCTAAAAAATCATTGGATTGGTGATGGCAAATAAATTAGAACTAATTCCAATCATTGAATATTCAAATGATCAATTTAAAGATGCACTTGAATATATTAATCAAAGACAACATATTGGTAAAATAGTAGTAAATCATGATATAGATATGTTATCAAGAGTATTTAGTGAACAGAAACAAAGTGACGCAATTATTATGAAGAACAGCTATGATATATCAAGATTAGATATTGGTAAAAACATATTAGTAACAGGTCAAACAGGTATTATATTAGAAATAATGAAATGGCTTGTTAAATATTCAAATATTCAAATCGATAATATTATAATTTTATCAAAATCACCATTAAAATGGGAATTAGAACTATTAATGAATACAACTAAACATCAAAAAGACAATACAATTAATTTCCACTTTATTCAAGCCGATATTGAAGATAGTAATAAAGTTCACAATCTTTAAATCAATAGTATATCCCAATCACTAGATATTATTATTAAAATAAAAAAAATTTAAAATCATTAAAAATTAATAAAAACTATTGCAGTGATAATTAATTATTTTAATGAACATAATGATTTTTATGAAAAAACATTTATATTATATTTATTAAATTATATTTTTGATTTTTTGAATAATTTATAAAAAAATATTTTGGATCCTAAACAACGTGGTGATTTATAAATGATAAATAAAAAAATGATGAGAATAACAATGAAAAAACATGCACCACCTACGATAATACCTGCTAATTGTGATTTGGTAAGGCCTGAGCTATCTTTACAACTTGAACCTACAGAGTTTGAATCTAATAATATACTGAAATCTGGATCAATTACTACATTATCGGTAAATTGATTAATATTAATACCAATGTAGGATTGAGATGTTTGATGATCATTTATCAAAGCATCATTCATTGATGAATCTAAAATTGTATTTGTTAATGTTGAAAGTTTTGTGTCATCAATGATACATCTTTTGACGAATCTGCCATAGAATGAATGATTATCAACTTGAAGTTTTAAATAGTCAGAATTTTCCCTTGTTAAATTACCAAACTGTGCATTTGAACATGAATCTGTGCTATTGGTTTGAATAGACGCTTTCATTATTAATTGTAATGTATTTAGTTTAGTTGAAAATGGATAGCTTGTAATATTGATTGTATATTTAATAGTTGAAGGATTCATCTCTAGCTGTTGACCTGCAAAAAATATAGATTGACTTTCCTTATACCAGATTAAAGTTGCAGTGATATTGGATACCTGTTTATTGTCTTTTTTGATAATTGATGAATAGCTATATTGGGTGCTAATAGAGTCGTTCGATATTAATCTATACTCCCATTGATCAAAAATATATCTGTTTACTTCTTTTGATTCAATATCCAATTCTTTTATACCAACGATTGATACAATACTTGTAAATGATATATCTTCACCGATTGTAATATTAGTTGATGGAGTAGTTTCATTAATTTTTGGTGGTGGCACTGTAACAATCTTTGACATACAGTCATTGCTTGTCCATGGGGAAATACATTTACAGCCTTTTGGATAGCATATACCTTGTTCTGGACCTCCACACAATGGTGTACCTTTGCAATTGGAGCTATTGTTACTTTCTTCTCCATCAGTTGGAAAATTAAAAACTTCTGGGTAAATTGTTAAAGGTAAACTATAAACACCATTGCTATTAGATGCACTGACTCTGACAGGTGAATTGGTTGGTTTGGTTGTTGAAAAATAAATTGCAGTTGATGATCTATAGAGAGGTGTTATGTTTTGAATGGTGCCATCACTATATTGAATTCTAAAATCTATAGCCAAATGTAGTAACAAACCATAGATCCAAAGACCACCCAAACCTGTACTTGATAGTTTTGAAGAGCTTTCAATAAGTGGAAAGCTATTGTCAGCAGCACCAATAACTGCAGAATCAGGGAATTTGAGCTTTATTTCTTCATTGTAGAAACCAGCTAAAGTACCAGCATTTGAAATAACACCATAAAGTTGGAAATAAATGATCTCCCCATTATCAACCAATAGATAAGGTACTTCGAGGAAAGATTGAAAAACTGAATTTGTATCATTACTGGATATTAATATCGTTTTCTCTGATTTAGCATATCTATAAGCTGATGCAGATATATAAACGGTTGGCAAAAAGTTTGAAATACCGTTTTGGTGATAAACATCATACTCGAATACCAAAGTTCTAGATTCTTTAGTTACACCAAATGAAAATTGAGAGCTTGATGTTACAGTAAATGAACTTAAACTTGGTTTAATATTAAAACCACCACTTGGTGACAATGAGGGACATTCTACTGATAAAGATAATGATTTTAATCCTCCTTGGAACAATGAATAAAAGGGATTCTTTTTATTAACTTTAATGGAACTATACTCTGTAAAATAGCCTTCAGTATCTTCAAAATATGCATAGACAATTGAATAAAATTGGGTTGCACATTTTGCTGTTGTTTTAAACGAGGCAGAATAAACCCCCTTAAAAACTGTACCACCATTGGCCATATTGGCTGGAGTGATTGTAATATTTCTCTCACTTAAATCGCTAGAAGCTTTTACTGTTATAATTCCTTTACTAAAGCCATTTGATCCCTCCTCTATGGTAAAGACCCATCCAACATCATTTGAATTTGCAATGTGTGATATTTCAGTTACTATTGGTCCAAATAAATCAACATCTATTTAATTTTAAAGCAAATTTTTAGTAAAAGAGTTAAATAATAAATATTATATAAAAAAAACCTCTTACTTTTTGATTCAGCAATTCTTAATTGATAACTACTTGGCAAAGCAAAACTATAATAGTTTATAGTGTCCAATGAATCTAATGTTATCATGTAACTAACATCACCAGGTTTAATATTCTTTGGTATATTAAATTCCAATTCATGTTGTTGAGAAGCTTCGTGAAAGGTTGAATAAACTGATTCTTTTCTTTCATTTGCTCTATAATCTGAATAGACAAATGTAACTTTAACTTCTCTACCAAATGGATAATTATTTAACCTTATTAACATTTTATTTGAATGACCAGTATCGGTAACATTTAAGTCATTATAAAGGAATGATACACTTCTTAATCCATTTAAATAATCAAAACCTAAAAAAAGTAAAAAAAAAAAAATGAAAGGTTAATATATATGATTTAAGATATTATTAACCATATTATTCTTTACTTACTCGATGGAAGTTTATCTAAATCCTGAATACCATACAATGATTGAACTTTATTATTGATATTATATTTGTAATTTGAACCCACTATATATTCATTTGATAATTCGGAATATGTTTTTAAAACTATTTTATAAATATTAAATCTTGGTAGTGTAATTTGAAGAATTTGCGTCTTACTATTTCTTGATAATAATCTTGTGCTAATTTCGCCCAATGAATACATTTTATATATATTATTTTCTGATGTGTAAATAGTTATTAAATCCAAATCACCTAAACTACAGCTTGTTTCCATCAACAATATCATTTTACCCTTTGGTATTAAATCTAATTGGTATTTAGTAATAACTGGATACATTTCCTGTTTAATTGTTTCTGTAGCTAAGATATGAATGAATGAGTTTATTATTAGATATCTTAATAATTTTATTTCTTGAATATTATATTATTAATACTTACAACCAGGTATTAAAGTAAATTCACGAAATAGATTATTATCAAAATATACATTTATATATTTTTTAGTCATCGTGGAATTTGAAACTATAAAAAGGCCCGAAAGTTCTACCGATATAGCATTATTTATAGATGATTTAAACCCAAAAGGAAACTTAAAGATAGGAAGACCAGGTTTCTCTAAAGATACAGAAAACATCTCTGTTGTGTTGAAAAATTCAATGCCTACCAAAATAATAATACTAGGAAAGCTATAACTAATAGACCAATATTTTGTATTTATTAATAATAAACCTATTTAAAATTATTAGTATTAATAATAATAGTTATCTATTTTTTAAAATTATAAATAACAAATATTTACCTTCTTGTTTATATTGGGTGTTATATTGAGCAAGAAAACCATCTGCCTTATAAAAACATAATGAATAGTTGATATTTTTTAAGGGATCACTTGCAATTGGTGCTAAAAAAGTATAATTTGTGTTATCTTTTGAACCAATCAAATATGGTTCATTGAATGACGAAGGGTTATCATTAGTTAAAAAAAAGTAATTATTGGGTCCTTGGAAATTTGACAATCTTAGATATAATGTATCTGTGAATACATTTGAATTATCAGCATTTGGATAATATGAAATAGTTGGAATATTATCAACGTCTAATATAATAATAATAATAATAATTGAATTTTAATATTAATAATTGTTGTATTCGTATATTTAAATATTTTTTACTTACATCTTAAAAGAGAGGAGGGGGGATTTATGGTTAAACTACCATCTGAAATCAAAAATGTAATGGTTCTTTTAAAAAAAAAGAAGTTGATTAAATTATATTTAAATGTTATAAAATATGTGTCATTTCCTAAATAATGTTGGATCGTCTCTCCTTTTTCTTTAAAATCCCATACAATATTTTCCCTTTGAAAATTCTTAAACTTTACTATCATTGCAAGCACATTATAAAAAATCCCAAAATTGTAAAACTCTAAGTTTAAAGCAGCCGGTTCTATTTCTATTTTTTTTTTTTTTTTTTAAAATAATATAAATAAAGAATAAGATCTTTAGTATTTGTTTTATAATGAATAATATAATCTAATTATGATTAAATAATTTTATTTACTTACTATAGCAATTAAAATTTAAATTTTTAGAATAAAAACTAGTTGGGGTACTAATATCAACAGATTGAATAATTTGTGTGTTTTGTGTTATATTTGTTTTTAATATTCCAAGTACTTGACTTGAAATCCCATCAGAGCTACTATTACTTGTTATTATTACAGTACTAGATGTTGATATAATATTGTTTACTATAGAATTCGATGTCACTTTGAAAGGTATTTCAAAGGAGCAACTCGTTGAGGACGATGTTGAGGGGTATCCATAAAAATTAGTTGTACCATTCCCAAAATATAACTCCTCGAAACTTACTTCTAATGTTTGGCTAGAGATACATTTAAATATAATAAAATAATAAAATAAAAAAAATAATTTGGTTTTGTTCATATTTTTTTCCAAACACAAAATAAAAAATATCTTTTGAAAAATTTTTTAAAAAAAAAAAAAAAAAATAAAAAAAAAAACAATTTAGAAAAAGGTTTGGTTTGGGAACGATATTCTCACGAGTAGAAAAAAAGAAAAAAATTTTATTTAAAAACTGGTTTGATTATTATTTTTTTTTTTTTTTAGAGTATTTTGATTGTCTAAAAATTGATTAAAAGTGATTGAACTTTTAGGTATTGACTTAAAATGTTTTTTAAAATGATCCAAACATTCATCTAAAGGTTTATTATCGATTGTGATTATATACTCTACAGTTTTGCTACTTTTGATAAATATTTCTATCACGTCTTCTTCAAGTTTATTTTTACTGGTTTCGCTAAATAAGTCGATATATTGAGAAAAAACATAATCCTCTAACTCCATTGTGATGGTTTTTAAAGTCTCTAAATTATTTTTTAAAAGATGATATAAAAAACTAAAATAGCAATCGTTAGTTTTGAATCCCTGAATTGAAATATTTTCTAGACCACTTTGTTTTATTATATTATCATAACCTAAATTACTATCTATATTATTATCACCATTATTTGTTTTTCTTTTTGAATTTTCAAATAAATATTGATAATAAAAATCTGGATAGGGTGATTCGCATTGATTATTATAACCGTAATAACTTGTGATATGTATATTTTTTAATGAAGGCATTTTTGGTGGATACACTAAATAATTATGACCTTCTGAAAGACTATCTGCGAAATTATCATCCAAATCTACACAAAAATGGTCATTTTTTACTCTATCGTTTAGTACACTTTTATCTATTAAATAATACTCGTCGCTGTTAATATGAAATGTTTCTATGGTTGAAAATAACTCCTCCAACTCTTTGGCACCTATTTCGTATGGTATTTGGCTTATGGAATTGTAGCTGAAATATAGAGGTGGCTGTTTTATTAAATTGTACTGAATGTTATTACTATTATAATAAATCGATCCTTTGGACCACTCGTAATAAAAGCTGTTATCCAAAAGATAGTTGTTGATTATTTTCGATAATACCCTAAAAAATTGCTTCGATACTAGTGCTAAAACAGATAGTTTTTTTAATGATAGTTGGTAGTTTAATGATTTATTATGCCTTACTAGTTTGAACACTGATTTTACATGATAGCTTTCTTTATCCAATAACGTAAACTCCAATATATTTTGAATAACGATATCTGGTATATTGATTATATATTCGCAACTATTATTATTAATTCCTCTATTACTAATTATATTATTGTTTTTATTTATTATATGTTTTAGAAAATAATCTATTTTAAAATTTGTATTCTCTGTATTACAATTACCATACAACACCCATTCCTTTAACTATATTTTAATTTTTATTAATATATTATATATATGATAACATACATATTTATTTTTTTGATTTTTATTATTTATTTATAAATTGTTATGCTACCTTTTTATCAAAAATACAATTATATAGGTTTTCATTACCTTCTGCCCTATAATAATCATCATTATAGTTTGAAATGCTGAGTGTATTGAACCTTTGATCTATTAATTCTCTATTATTTTCATAATTATCTATAATCCACTTTTCAAACTAATAGTTTTTTTAAAAAATAATATTACTTAGTATAATTTTATTTATTATTATTAAAATGATTTTTTAATATATACCCTTTTATCTTTAATAATCTTATTAAATATTTCTTTTAAGATTAGTTTGCTATAAAAAGTTTTTATTCTACCAAGCTTACTAAAAACTTTGTTTGATGGATCAAAAAACACATCCACAATAAAATTTGTATACCCTTCTCTATCTATATAGTATATGGGTTTAGATAAATGATATTCTCCAAAATATTCAACTGCCAATTCCCTAATTTCTTCACATTCTTTATATTTTCTATAAAAGTTGATTATTTTAATTAAATTTAATAAAGTAAATTTTTCATATTTATTTTTTTTAAAGTTATCAATTATTTTTTTTTCATTATTATTATTATTATTGCTATTATTACTATTATCTATATTACTATTATATTTTGTGTTATTGATATAATTAATGTTATTATCTAACTTTTGTTTTTTTAGTGGCATTCTTTTTAAAAATAAAATGAAAAAAAAAAAAAAAATTTTAAATAAAATATCTTTTTTTTTTTTTTTTTTTTAAAATAATTTTATTATTCATAATTTTAAAAATAGAAAAAAAAAAATGTTTTAAAACTTTTGAATTATTATGATATTATTTTTAAAAAATTTAAATTATTTAAAAAAATATCTTGATTTATAAATTTTCCCATAAAAAATTTTAAATCTGATTATACATTTTTTTTGTGGAAAAATCGTAAAAATTAAAAAAAAATCTATTATTTCCATAAACAAGATAATTATTAATAAAAAATAAAACTATTCATATGAAATACAATAATTTTTTTTATTTATGAAGTCGAATTTCTAAAATTAATAATAAAATTAAAATAAAAGTAAATTAAAAATAAATTTTCATTTTTAATTTAACTAAATTTTTTTATAAATAGATAATAATAATATTTATTCATCGGAATTAAACTTATAAAGTATTAAACTATATAGAAATAATATTTGAAATTAATTAATATTTTTTTTTAAATCATTTTTTTAAAATTAGCTAGGTATTCAGGATATCATTTAGGAGAGAATTTAATGAATTTTTCAAATCAAAATATAGAATAAATTATAATTCTCAATTTAAAACTATAAAATAAAATAAAACCTATACAGCTATATCAAATTAAATAAATATAAATTATAATAATTTAATAAAAACATTATTAAACAATTGAATATTTTTTAATTTATTTTTTAATTTATTTTTTTTTAAAAATTTTTTAAATTTCTTTTTTTTTTTTTCATTTATTAAAATTAAAGCTTTCATTCACCCACACTCTTTTTTTACATCCAGCTTATATTTTTTTATACATTAAATCATAAAATTTATTTTTTTATTTTTTACACTTATATACATTTAATTTTATTTTAAATAATTATTATTTAATTTTTTAAAAAAAATGATTCATATTTTATTATTGTGCATTTTATTTATTGTTGTTGGTGCCATTTTTTATTATTGTTTTGGAAAGTTCATCTTCAAGAAAAAAAACCGTTGCCGTTGCCGTTGCTCTACCATTAAAGGGGAATACTGCCCACATTGTGCCTTTAATTCCGATTTCTGGGATAAGGTACATATAGAAAGTCTACATCTTGGATACGATCATAGAGACTATCGTGACAGACTACATGGAATACACTCATTAGAAAGATCTATGCTCGATGATGAACAAGTACAACAAAATCTACGATTATACCAACAACAAACAAAACAACAACAACAACATGAACTACCATATCAACAACAAATGAACCTAGAACATCACCAGATAATGCAACTACGTCAACAACAACAACTAGAAAAACAACAACTATACCAACAACAAGAACAAGAAAGACAAAGTCTACAACAACATCAAAGAATTCAACAAGAACATCTATTTTTTCAAATTCAACAACAACATCTACAACAACTAGAACAACTACATCAACAAAAGCTACAAAGACTACAACAACAAAAACAACAACATTTTTTTTGGAGATACTTTTAAGTAATTATTACTTAAAAAAATTCTTTAGTTGATGTAATATTAGTTGTACCGAATAAATGTGTATGTGTGCTTATTCTAGGTAGTAAGCCAATTAAAAACAAGATAGAATCAAATCAATAGAAAATTAAAAGTAATTAATGAAGAGTTCTAATTAGATCGTTCAATTCCGTTTTTTGTATTCATCGTGGTGGTAAAGAATAGTTTAGGTCAATTTATCAACAATCTATTTCAACCATATTTAGTAAGTATAATTATAATTATAATTTTTTAAAAAATTTAAAAAAAAAAATTGATTCTAATTTTTTTTAATAGTCTTCAAAAGAATGGTTATCAGGTGAAAATAATGTACCAATTTCAATGAGTTTAAATCAAATTGATAATCAAGTTCAAGATTTTGATGATTTATCAGTTTCATCACCATTATAAGAACCAGAAAAGAAAATAACATTTTTGAAATAACTATAATAATGAATCATCAGCTTCAGAAAATTTACAAGAAGAACATTAAGAAAAATCATCACCCAGCATCACCAATTGACTCATCATCTTAAATACAAAAGAAAATATTCATCGTACTAGCTACGTACCAAAAGTTGTAAGAGCTCAACAATATAATAAAGATGAAGATGAAAATGAAGAAGATCTTTTAGATTTTGAAACGGATTAATATTAAAATCGAAGGCGATTAAATTAATAGTTTTGATAATTCATTCTATATTTCTTTTTACGAAATAGATGAAGACCAAATTATTAATAAAATCGTTTCATTCTATGTTTCAATTATTAAATCGTTAAATTTAAGAAAGTCAACTTCATCATCCAAGAACAAATCACATCTTTATCAACATTTCAAATAAGAATAGCTCCAGTTCTTCCACAAGCAGGGGTCAATTGAAAAGAAGAAATAGATTTTAAAGTGACATTATCCAAAGAAAAAGCAAAAAGGAAAGATGGAATGAAAAACTAAATTAACACCTCAAGTATTGTATATGGTTTGGAACAAGCAGTTTATAAGAATAGAAAAGAAATAGAAATCAAAAAAAAGTATAGTTTTAAATCTAATTGGCCTCCCAGGATTAATTCAAATGAAGAAAATACAAACAATTATTATTATTTAAAATTTTAAATTAAATAAAATAAAAAAAAATTATTACTGTATTATGTAATATAAATTTTTGATATTTTTAATAAAAATTATAACCACATTATTTAATATAAAGTTTTGATATTTTTAATAAATTTTATTTTAGACAACTATTACTTTTTTAAACTATAATATTATATTATTTTAATTATTTAAACCAAACCATGGTGATAAATCAACTTCAACATAAGTACCACAAGCAGCACAAACTCTTTGTTGACCAAAGCCTTCTTCAAAAGCAACAAACATTTTATTGGCAGCAAAGTGATAAGTAGCAGAGACGATATTATAACCCATCCAAGCATTTGTGCAATCATAAAATGGCTCGGAAGTGGTATGTGTATTTTGAATACTATGTTTATTACCTAAAATTGAAGTGATGTTGAAGGCTTCAAGATCAGAGATTGAAATTTCAGCATTTTCATAATAGCTAAATTATGTATAGAATAACATGTAACGAGTCCAATAATCATCATTTGGGATGGATGGCTCCCATTCATATTTACGAATGGTTTCATCATAACCATGATTTGTACGATAGACAGCATCCTTCATTGGATAACCCATTTGAGTTTGAGCGCCAGTTTTTGGGTCAGAGTAGGTGAAGTGTTCATTTGGATCGTTATCATAAAAGAAAGCAGTGTAACCTTTCATAGTTTCTAAAGCATATGCTGGATATTGAGCAGTTTGAACTTAGGTAGCACTAGTAAGACTGTGACACATACCCATAGTAATATTGGTAGATTCCCAAAGTGAGACAGCTTCATCAATAGTGGCAGCGTTTTCCATAATATAACGAAGTCTCATTGACCAAGCAAAACCATTAAAAGTTACTTTATCAGAGTCATTGTCAGATTCAGCAACAAAGATACCTTTTGAACTTATACCAATAATGACACCAATTAAACCAGCAAAACCAATGGAAGCATGTGAGTATTGACCTTGTGGATGGTAAAAGGTAATTAATTTGTTATTACTAATACCTGAACCATTTAACAATCTTAGTACCTTACATTTTTTTTTAAATTCGAAAAGTTTTTATTTTTATTTTTTTTTTTTTTTAAAATTTCTTTTTTGATGAATTAAAATTATTGTTGATTATTATTAAATAATGATCCTTATTAATTAAATTGTAATGTATTCATATGCATTTTAGAATTAAATGAATATTACAGTTATAATTATATCTCAACTAAATAATATATTTATATTTTCCTTAATTTTAAATAATTTATTATTTAAAATTAAAAATTAATAAAATAAAAATAAAAAAATTGAAAAATTTAAAAAATATTTATTTTATTTTTTAGTTTTCAGTTTTCGGTTTTAGTTTTCACAAACAAATAATTGTATATTTATTTGATTATTAGAATTATTTATATTTATTATTTATCTATAACTAAAGTAGCTCCATCTACATTACAAAATTTCGCTGATTTGGTCAAAGCTTTAGTCACCCGAAAGATAAAATCTAGGAAAAAAGATTCCGGCTTGCCAGACTCGAACTAGCAACCGATTGATAACAGATAATTACTACAGTCAATCGCGCTACCATTGCGCCAAAGCCGGATTGGATGAAACATTTGTAATATAACTATTGTTATATTTAAGAACTCTAAAATAATGAATTAATTACTAAACAAAATATATTATAAATTAAATGTAATTAATTATAATAATAATAAAACACAAAATAAAGATAAAATAAAATATAATAAAACCAAAATAAATATATAAAAATATTTAAAAATTATATTTTAAAAAATAACTAATCTTTATTAAAACTAAAAATTACTAATTATTATTATTTGTTAACTGTATAAATAAACTCTATTACTTATTATTTTCTTATCTAAAATTATTTTTAAAATTTTAATTTATGCTAAAAAATATTATTTTTTTAAAAATTAAAATTAATTAAAAATTGTGTATAAAAATATTAAATTTTAAAAATGTGTTAAAAATTTGACATTGATTATAAAATAATGAATGTGTGTTATTTTGTGGTAAATGTGATATTCGTTTATAATTATTATTGTAAATTTGCATTGATTGTAAAATTGTTATTATATCACATATGCCCCCCTTTAAAATAGATACCATGAATTTGAAATACTATTAATTGATTGAACTGAATCATTAAATGGTTTAGAATCTTTAATAATATTAGGTGGTGAGGCTTTTTTGATTCTGATAACTGGAAATATATCATGAGCTTTTGAATTTAATGGTAATTGAACACGAACATTGTTTGGATTAGGTAAACCAATAACTTTGAAAGGACCTTTCCAAGGTCTATAAAACTTAGGTGGTAAGCCATTTAAATTTGAAACATTATATGGTACATGAATAAAAACCCAATCGTTAATTTTAATTTCACTTTCTATTTTGTCTTGATTATAATAGTGTGCTTGTCTAACTTGAGCCTGTTGAACATTTCTTTTAACAAACCATAGTGCTCTCTTAATGTTATTTTGAACTGTATCAGCATATGAATCTGTTGGATTTAAAATTAATTGGTTATTAAAAGCATCTACACGTAAGGTGGTATCAATTGGTAATTTTGGGTGTCTGTTATATAATAAATAAAATGGTGAAAATCCTGTTGTGACATGTGGAGTAATTCGATATGCAAATAAGACACTTTTTAATAATAAATTCCAATTTCCATATATTTCTTCGTCTAAAAAGGTTTTGAACATTTGAATAATTGTCTTGTTAAAATTTTCTGTTAAACCATTAGTTTGTGGATGATAGGCTGTAGTATTTACTTTTGTTACTTTAAAAATATTATTAATTCCTTGAACTACTTCACTTAAAAATGCTGTCCCTCTATCTGATATTAATTTTTCTGGTGCCCCATATCTGATAAATATTTCTGTATATAATATTTCTGCTACAATGTTAGCTGTACATTCTGTGGTAACAAATAATTCAGGCCATTTTGAAAAATAATCCATAATAACTAAAAAATATATCTTTTGATTTCTTTCTGTAATTGGGCCCACAAAGTCTATTCCAATAGTTGCAAACGGTTCTGATTTAACTTCAATTGGTACTAATAATCCAGGAGCTTTTCCATATCTTCTTTTTACTTGTTTACAATCATTACAATTTAAAACCCAATTCTTAATATCTTGACCCATATTACGCCAATAAAATCTGTGATTAATCTTTTCATATGTCTTGATAAAGCCTAAATGTCCACCTGTGTAAGGAGAATCATGGAAAACTTTGAGAATAATATTAATCATTGATGGTGGTATTACTACTTTTTGAAATAAAAATGATTCTTCTTCTTTCTTTCTTAAATCTTTGATTACTCTACACATAATTCCATCGATAATTGTAAAAAATTGTGATTCAATAAGTATTTGCTTTGCTAATTTTTCTTCTTCAGGTAATTCATAACTTTCTAAATAAATATACATTGAGCCTAAAAATGGATCTTTCAACATTTCTTGTTTGAGATATTCTTGATCAAAACGAATTAAAGTATCTGTATCATTACTACTATCATGAATACTATTAATCTCAATACTATTATTATATAAATTATTCTTTATGTTCCATTTCTTATTATATAAATAATTTTCTTGATTTTCTACAACTGGTTGATTACTATTTAATACAAGTTCTTTACCATCAGCTATCTGTGGACTTCTTGATAATAAATCAGCAAAATAATTAACTTTACCTGGTCTATAAATAATTTCATAATCATATTCGGATAAATAAATAGACCATTTACTAATTCTTGAAGTGAATTTACCATTTTTGATATAAACTAAAGGTTGATGATCGGTTATAATTCTAATTTTACGTCCGTTAATATAACCTCTAAATTTCTTAATGGCTTGGACAATGGCTAAACATTCTTTTTCTGTAATCGTATATCTAGTTTGAGCATCATTTAAAGCTTCTGAAAATACAGCAACGATATTATTATTTTGAATTAATACTGCGCCAATTCCGATATTTGATGCATCGGTTTCAATTATATTTAATTCACAATCGGACGGAAAAGCTAAAATTGGGGCTTTGCTAATAATTTTGATAAATGTTTGACGAGCTTCTTCTAATTCGGATGTCCATTCAAATTCAATATTATTCCTTAATAATCTATAAAATTTTGATACTAATTGACTGTAATTTGGAATAAAATTTCTAATATATCCGGTAAAACCTAAAAATGAAGCTAATTGTTTTTTACTTGATGGTGCAGGAGTTGATAAGAGATTTAAATATTTATTACCATCATAAGATACACCTTTTTCTGAAA